AAGATGGAAGAAGCCATCTGGATAGAATAAATGTCGTGTCTAGTCGACCCAGAAAGATGGGTGGCGACAGATAAACGCTATTAATGTATAATCGTTTTTGCTAGAGAGAGTCTTTAGGAAAAGCAACAGGTGTTATCGGAAGATAACGACCAATAAACCTTCTTTTCGTCCATCTGCACAAAAGTTATCGATCTCCCCCCTCGCGAATCGAAGCCGAAAGATGCAACCTCCCGTTTCCAACCCGACGACATTATTCTAGTCTCTTCTACCATCTCCCGCCCGGTGTCGGGCCTTAACTTGGAAAACATTCGCCGGTGTGGGTTCGAACCCGTGTTCTCCCCATTCGGACATTGTTCTATTTCAAATTACAACACATATTCTGGAATATCCCAAAGGGTATCTGTCTCTTAAAATGGGGAGTCTCGAGCTTTCAAACCGTTGGAAGGCTACACCTATTCGGGTTTCGGGAACAAATTTAAGGTCCTGCGAATGTTCGAATCGAATTCCGAACAGAGTCTAGCGTTTTGAATCCATCTAGAAATCGGATGCGCTGGTGGAAAGGCTACCGGCCCGGTCAGTGATAGGGGATGGCGAGTGTTTCCACCCCCACTAACGGTAGGTTCGCACTAAGAACGTATAGATTCTGGTTACGTGGCCGGATAAACGAATCCCACCGAACGGATAATGGAACAAATGGAAGAGGCTCACCTGAGAGAGTGCGTCACCATCGACTGCCGTCATTGTTCGGTTTAACGTCGTTCTCTCCGGATCTGTCCCGGAGACAGATTCCCAACGTTTCTGTCGCATTCTTCTCCCTTCTACTTTTCGAGAGGAAGCAAGGGGGATTTTTCAAATTCGAAGGGATCGTCCGAAACATCGCCTTTTCCGCCACTCTTCCACCCGCATCCTTTCAGTTACCGGGCATGCGCCGCTTCGGTCGAAGAATGGAGATGTTTAGAGGTTTTTCCAATGAAATAAGATGGAAGTCGGGAAATTGACACTCCCGAAAGGTACTCGGTTCTGCCAAGAACAAGAACAAGAACTGTCGCTGAAAAACTTTAGAATGCCACCGAGGCCGACTAAAATTGTTAATAAAACACCCCACATCACAAAAGAAGATCCCAAAGAAATTAGCATCGGGTGGGATCCGAACCAACGCCTATAATCTGCCAAATGCTCTAATTGGGTAGAGAATATCGGAAGATATAATGAAGGATGTGGGTTCGGATCTATTTCGATTTTGCTTTATTTCTGGTAGTTTATAAATCAAGAAATACGGTTCGGGTATCGCTTGTTCATTAATTAATGACGATAACAGGAAATCTGCAGACTCGTCCCCCTTTTTTCGTTTCTCAACACTGTTTCTATTCTATAAAAACAGAAGGATAGATGTTGTTAAGAGCGGATTTTTATCGAAACCTGGAAACTAACACAACGGGTCTTTCATTCCCCACACCAGACGGTGGGGGAGGATCTTTCCGAGAGCCGACAGCCAACCGTGCAAATTTGCATGTCGCCAGTAGACGAAGTGGCTTTGTTTCTCGCAGTCGTTAAGGGGGGATGAAGTGATCCGGTTCGTTTTTGAACAACAGCCTGGCCGATTCCTACACTACAACGTAGCGTTAGGTGTTTAGGGCTTAGAACCGCGATATGCAGTAGCCTACAGTATTTTGGCGCGGAGTGTTAGCCTGTGTTTGAATTGAATTTAGCAGTCGGTGGCCCTCGTAACCACGACTTAGCCGAGGGCCTGGGGGTTGGAGCCGGGCCCCACGACAGACGACGAACGGGAAGTGACTCCGGGGTAGCAAACAATCGAAAGACAAGAGACGAGTAAATGAAGTTGTCAGTAAGAGCAAGGGAGGGAGCTCGTGTTGCCGTCCGTTTGTCTCCGCCATTGTTGATGGATGGCTGCATTTCAATTACAAAAGTCCCACGGGAAGAAAACGGAGCCGGCCATTACCCGGCCGCCCACCCGGATAAATTGGTTTGGGCCCGACTTTTTCGAGTTCGGGCCAGACTCCGAGTTCTCACCAGTTGCAATTACGTAGCGGGTAAATGGGACGAGATTGCACGTTCTTCTTCCATCTGCGCGCGCTCTGTGTCTAAGACACACGATTAATCTCTTCCTCCCTTCAACCTCTTTAATCCGTGAACCAGATTTCTCATCTTCCTAATGAACCGAGGTCGTGCGAACACGCATCTGACTTCGACCCCGATTATTCGGGTGCAGAACCTATTTTTCTATATAGAAGCGCTATTCTTCCTTCTAGAAGAGCGTGGCCCGCGGAAACGGAACGTTTCACGGAAGATCGGGACGGGGAGGAAGGAAGACAACGCTCGTTCCGCGTCCGAGTGGCAGTGATTACGGGTTGTCCGCCTAATAACAGACATCAGTTCACGCTCCGGCGCCACCACCTTCCGCTAGTCGTTACGTAGAAGAAATTGTTTTGTGACGTCGCCCCCGAGGTGTACTCTGTCGGCGGCCTCCCTCCCGGAAGAACGTAAATCTCGTTACGTTGCGCCACGAGAGGGGTGTCCGACGCCATTACGACTTGAAAATTGCTCTGGACGTTGGCAATGGCGATTTTTCCGGATATCCGGTTGTCGATATCCCATTGTTTACAGTCTACACTTCTTTAAATCTCGTGACGTTTGCGTGATTTACGTTCGTACACCCCACTCCAAATGTTTCCTTCTAATCAACGACACTCGTCTCCCTTCTGCGCGGATCGATACCACTCCACTCGCGTTACGCGTTTCGATCCGTAACAACAGTTCGAATCGCCTTGATTTATAGCTACGGCTTCCGTAACAATAGAAGAACCACTAATACGGCGCATTTAGATGGCACCGCGCGTTACGCTAAGCACGGCAGGAGCGACGTTGGGTTAGTGTAATTCCTGTTATTCTTTAGACTCGATAAATGATCTCGACTGATTAAGTACAGTACACGAAGCGACACAAGTACGGAAACGTAACTCGCGGGTGATAAAATGGCGGCTGGGAACGGTCGATCCCGGATTAAACTGGAGTTTATCTGAGTCAAACTGGTAGTTTCTCGTCCCATTCGAATCACTGGTTCGTTTATTTAGGGCCCTTTTAGGCCTTAAGATAATTCGGTGCCCGGGTCTTCGGGGCCCCCCGAAAAGGGATCGATTCTCGGTTCGAGTGGAAGAGAATGACGATCCAATCGGTTAGGAGATGCAAACCAATCGGCGCGCTGCCGTCGTTTCGGAGGGCCAATGAGACACGAGCCGGGAACGAAAGGGCGTGACGTCGATAGCGGTGGCGTTAATAACGCTGGCGGGTGACGCGGCGGGGCGGGTTTCAACCCCCAAGCTCGGCGTTCCAGATGTCGAGACGTGTCTGTCAGCCGCGCCGATTGGAGTGGACTACCCTCCTAGCCCGAAGGGGTCTTCCATCTATTATGAAGGAAGAGGAGCGCGTAGCTCATATTGTTCCCGCCATTGTCGACTCGATTGTTAATTTTATCGGAAACTTCCGCGCCGTCTCTATCCTAAATTCCACGCTCTTCTGCCTCCCCCCGCGTGGTATATTATTTCTCGGGCCGTCTCGCCCGTTTCCGGCCCCATTGTCTCTTATCGATACCCGTTCGGGTTCGGATTTCTTTTATTTAACACGGGTCAAATTGACCGGCAATACCTTTGACCCGTCCACCTCGGTCGTAATGATGAGAAAGGACACGTGGAAATAACTGAAAAACACGTAAATTGGGGTGAAGAAAATTCTACATCCCATACTAAATAAATGACGAGAAGCCGCTTAGGTTCCTTACATCGATTCGAATTTGGTTGTTCTACAATCCAACCAGGTAAAATGCTTTTACACAAACTTCGAGGCTGGAAGACCCCAAAACACATGTACAACTGTGTATAGAGTCACGAGACAGTGAAGATCGGCTTCTCAACCGGTAGATCGCCCGTATCACGGTGGTATTCCAACAGCTAGAAATTTCTGGAGGAATGGGAAACGTTGGACGGCTCTCACCACTTTTCCAGGTAGCGTGAGTACGTGTGTGTAGAGCGGCAGATCAACTCGGTGAGTTGGGTTTTCGCTCGAATTAGGATATATGAATGTGCTTCGCCAAGCGGAGAGGGGGTAATCCTGACAGGGACAGAAGCTACCAGACTCAAGCTCATCTTTCTGACTTTGTTTTCTAACGTTTCTGAAGATGACAGCCGAATTTAACGCTCCGTCGAACACAAATAAGTCGTCCGGATCGGCCCCGGGCTCCGTACTTTTCATCTACAAACATAAACAGGACCCGGGTCTCCCGCACCGGGGTGCCATTATGGATAATAACCTCCCCGACGGGGAAAAAATCCTCCGAAAAGCCCTGTCGTTTCATTTCGATCCCGGGAGGGGTGGTATATTCTTCCTCCCTCTTATCCGTGTTGAATGGATAGCGGCCACCCTACCTACCCCCGCACTTCATATCCATGTTTTGTCGTTCGTTAATGGGTACGAGACCATCTCTACAGACAATACACCGTCGGAAGGAACTGTCGTCACACAACCTTTCTAAATCTTACGGCTGGCTAATCTTACCTTACGGATAATCTTACGGCTCCGGACACCGAGAAAGGAGAATGCCATTTTTTGGAAGTATTCGAGGAACTGCGGGAATTGGGGATCCACGTCGTTTCTATTCCGAAAATCTTGGGCTATTTTGGGCAGGTTGACACTAGCAATGTCCGCGATGCCTCATCTCGTAGGCCCGCGCCATCCATCGCTATTTAAAACGCTCAGTTCGTGCCATTATATTCGCGTGTTCAATTTTTCAACACTTATGCCTAGGCCTTAATAAAGTAAAACCGACACCTTAATGTATAAGGACTCGTATACGTGTGTTTGGCGCTTCATCTAAACGTATTGTGTCCAGATTTAAACACTTCTAAATGTGTGTTTTCTCGTCATTTTTGCCAATTTATATTAAAAAATACTTTGGGAAAGCCGAAAAAGTAATCGAATTTCCTTACTTTTATAACATTTTCAAGAAACGTGAAGTTTAATTTCCAGGTAGTTCGATTTCGGTTGGAAAAGAGGAGCATCGGAAGCTTAAATGCCTCTTTCGGTTATCCAAAACGGGATCAGAACACGGAATAGTTGTCACGTCAACCTATAAAAAAAAAGTTATAACGAACTTCTCACAAAATGGATCTAAATTTATCAACTAATTTACTTGTAATTAGCAAAAAAGAATAAAAAACTTGATGTAGAACAGGTTAAGCAAAGTATTTAGAGTTTGAAAATTAAGGCAAAAAATTGATGAATTACCAGTTTAATTTCGAAAAGATGAAGATAAATTCTACGTAGTAATTTTAGTTTACGTAAGCTCACTTGGAAGGATTTACGACTTTACTTACAACATACTATCGAAGCCCTATCGCGATAAGTCCTACAATGCACTTCTGCGCTGGTTATAACGAAAAAACTGCGCATTCTGCTTTAAATTTCGACCAAAATCATGTTCGTACTTCATTAAAACCCGACAAACTTCTCTAACTTTATAAAATTTTAGAGAGAGAAAAAAAAAGCTATTTTTAATGACGGTTGCGTGCCAGACGATGAGCGTAATATGGCGTTTGGAACTGGCGCTTTTTATAGGAAAAAATCGCTTAAGCTGTATTATTTTCTGAAAGTTCCGAGCTTCGGAAGTGTGTAATTGCCTTATATTTTATCGCAGGAACGTGGGAAATAAGAGAAATCCTCTATTCGCTCCAAAAATTCCCATCGTCTTCGCGCGATAACCAGTGGCTAAATGGGTCTCTTAATATGAAAATTTTAAGCCGTCGATACGGAATTTATCAATGCCAAACTTCTCCTAATCCTAGTGTCAAATGCCTTTGCGCTTTTATCAAATTTTATGTCTATCTGGCGTGTGTGGCCTAGGCGGGTGGAACAATGGGATCTACCAGTCGTGATAAACAAGCTCGTATCGCCGGTAGTACAATGGTACTACTGGTGGCACCAGCTCGGTTTCCTCGCTTCACTTTTTATCATCCATTTTGTTTCCTGTCTCCTTATGCAACGTAATACCGTCCTCCAAATTTCTTGCCACGTATCGAATGTTCCGTTATCGGCGAGGTGTCCTATTCCCGTTCGAAAACGTACGCCATCCATTCGAATCCCGTTTTCGTCAAACTGAACTTAAAACCTCTTATCTTACTTTTAATTAGTGAATATCTCTAACTATCGTAGTACAAAGTCTACTTCCGAGGGGGGAGAAAACATTGTTACGACCGTCCTTTAGTGTTTCGTAATGGCGTCGTGTCTCTTGGCCTAAAGCTACGGGTTGATCTTCATCGCAGTTCGTGTTTATCACTCGTTAAAGAGCTTCTTTCCCATCCCATTCGTCCGTACACTCGATTATGATCTCTACAACTATGTTCGTCCCCGAATTTCGGGGGACGAATCCACCATCTCTGCGACACAATGTCGAGACTCTGGCCAGCTTTACACTTATGTGGTATATATAACTCCCGAAGGTAGGCCTACGATTGTGTAACGGGGTGGGCCCGAAGTTAGTACCACCGCCCGCGCATTTTACAACCACCTTTAATTACGCCTCCCGGGTTATACCCAGTCGCGACTAACAATAACCGGTCGAAACTAGGCTCGAATCGGAATTTACCAGGCTTTTTAGCCACGCGGATTTAGTTTTTTACTTAATTTAAACAATTTAGGTTGGAGTTTTACGTACGGAGGATCCCGACGATGGCCGATCTAGGCGAAGACCGGACGAAATAAGGCATTATCTTTCCTCGAAATCGTTTAGTATATAAATTAATACTTAAAATTTTCTAGAAGTTATCGTATAAAATCTTTTCTATTAACTAATTACAATTAATTAACCAAACACGTCACATTTCCACATATTTACAACACGAACTCGCACTGGCAAACACGTGGATTACTCCCAACAGGAAGCCAAATATTCTCGCATTTATTTTTAAAAATAGCCAAAGTATAGCATTTGATTCCCCCAAAAATTAATGTAAATTCTATTCTAGAAAATTTTCGGACTAAATGTTATTTAAAAATAATAATTTTGGGAATAGAATATTAATAAAGCTTGGCCGTGATCAGAAAGTGTACTTTTAATTGCCAAATTATGTAAATAAGCCATCAAATCGGCCGCCATTTTGCGAGTAATCGTCACGAATGCCCTTAAAGAACGGAAACGGTACGAAATTTGAAAAAACTTAAACTCGATCTTATCTAAACTTCTTCAAAGGCATTTTAAACTGAAGTTTCGGTAATATCGCCTTCTCTCTCATACACGCGCCGCATCATAAGTAGCTACATTAAATGTATATCGAAGTAGGCTACTCTACATAGATTATTCTACGTAAATTCCACCTTTATACGCGTTACTTTTTACATTACGTAGGCATTGGAAATCGGAAAATGGCGATTTTCCTCCGTTTTTTCCTTTTAGGGAATTACGTCCTAAGAAAACTCCTTGTTATTTTAAATATATTCGGAAAATTTCGCCAGTTCTAGGCCAGTGTTAGATTAAATATAAGGCCTTATTTGCTACTTACAAAGCGGCATCGGTCTAGTTTTCTCTTTCGTACAAAGGCGGTTTAAATAAGAAAAACTGCTTTCTTCTAAATTCTCCTTCGTAAACTTCTTAGAGAGATTCTTGCCTTAATTTTAAGATATCCGAGATGTCGGAGGTAAATGGTCGACCCCCGTATAACACTGTTCATTTTTCCGTTTTATACGAATTCCATGTTGTACGAGTCACTTAGATTTTACAAATACGTGTGCTGTGCTGTGAACGGCTCACGTATTTGTAAAATCTAAGTGACTCGTACAACATGAAATTCATATAAAACGGAAAAATCAACAGTGTTATACGGGGGTCGACTGGTACCTGTATTTTCTCCCATTTTAAGGTCCATACTAAGTAAAATTAGTAAATGTCGCTACGGGTAAAGTTATTTTCTTCGAAATTTCCATAAATTTATTAAATTTAACGAATATTTGTAAAGTTGTAGGCATGGAAAGAGGCATCGGACGGAAAAAATGACGGGACTTTTTACCTCATTTACGAGATTTCCTAATAAGAAGAATGTGTCAAATATACAAAAGTTTAATGGTATAGTGGATTTTCTGCAATTTATTATCAAATTTCTCCCAATTTAAGCGCTTTGCCAACACAGTAAGTACCTATAAAGTACCATCGGTGACTGATGTCGGTACTTCGTAATGCCCACTTTAGCGAGAGGTTGTATGGCAAGTTTCGATGTTATCTACAGAAATTACTTGCCAGCTTCATTGTTTCGGTAATAGCATATTTTCTAAGTCGGTACGGTACCGAATATCTCGACACGTACCATCGATCAACTTAAATTAATACTGGAACCCGTTCCCTTCTGCCCGCAATTACTGTCAAGAAAATGGAGTTTTTCTGGCCACGATTTCTTCTCCTACAGAAATTCTCACCACTTTGCTACGTTGCGAATATTTATGACGAGTCCGTACCGGACCGAGTATCGTCAATAAAATGCCAGAAATGGCATTTTTAATGCGTTAACTTAATGCGTTAAATGCGCTCCTGCCGTGTTTCGGGCTTCTACATCTGTTCCCAATCCAAACTATTTTATATCCTTCGTTTCGGCGTGGAAAAAGGTAAGTCGGGCCCTCGGTTTCCTTAAACTAGGACGAGCCCACGTTTAGAGGCTAGAAAAATTGGTACAACGCGTCTAAATTCTAAATTATAATATATTATATATCATTTACACTCTTAATATACTGTAATGAGCTAAGATTTTGGCTTACAGTAGACGAGTACAGGCTCAAATTGTATTTCTACAAGATATATTAGGCCTAAAAAGGTAGGTTGGTTAGGCCAAAATATCTAGATTAAACTTTAGGCCATATTTATAGGCTTACATTGGGCACTTGTACAGTATTATATAAGTTAACGGCCGAAACAATGCTAAGTTTGTACTCTTATATAGGCTTGAAATTAACTTTTATACAGAATCTACATTTCTCCAGCTTAGTATTTGGGAAAGAAACCGTAAAAATGTTCTCCTCTCGGCTTTGGTCGTGGCCTAAAGTAGAAATTTAGGAGCGCAATATCAATTTTTGTTACTAGAGAAGACCCAAATTTCCCGTAACGAAGAACAAACTCTTATAAAATCTTTAATAAATATGAAATTTTAGCCCTTTCGAGTTTAGGTTACTCGTTACGCGAAAACGTGTTAATTTTTCGTGAATTTAAGGCTAGACACGACTTAGTCTCTACGCCAGGTAGGGATTAAAGAATGTTTTTTAAAAGGGAATATAAAGACGAATTTAATTTACACCTCCTCCGAGTTGTGCAGGGTTCCATTGTTTCCTTCACTCCTCGTTGGCGAATAGAGCCTTTCCTTACGGCTTTCGAGCTAAGTGGTAGAGTCACAGTTCAGGCAGTTACCGCAGGAAATTAGTATTGTTCTACTTGTTTGTTCGTCGGGTAATGCAGGTAGGGAGAAGCTTCCACAGCCGCTACACCGTATCAAATTCGGCCTTTTGTCTTCGTCTTTAAGGAACACGGCGGAGTGTAATTTGGCAACGACTCCACATTTTAATCCCTTATCGCGGGGCAAATAGGCGAAAACAAAGAAATTCGGCATACTCTAGGGAGTGACGCATTCGGAAGGAAAGAACTTTCTGAATCATCATACCACGTGATGCCACGGGGAGCGGAAAATCCTGGCGGTTCCGGCCCTCCAATGGAAGACGGGCATATCCCCACGTTCCACTCGGAAACGTCATCGACCCGTCCGAGGTTCCACCTCTTCCTCCACCCCGTACCTCCCTCCACTTCCCTTCGTCGGGCCTAATTGATTAAAGAAGAGCGATTGGCGTGTCGCTCCCCTCTCCACTCTCTCGCCTCCCCACTCCGAATAGAAATGCCAGTTCGTTCCAATATCTTTCCACGCTCGGTCGGAGTCGAGCCAATTAGATAAAGGGGGCGATTCTCCGCACCCGATTTCACTCCCCCTTCACCAAAAACGTGTTTCCGAACGCGTTTCTTCGCGGCAAGCCCTCCACTACAACGCACACTAAGTAGACACATTGGAAGCGACTCCCCTCGAAACGTATTCAAAAAAGGAAGACGACCAGAGCCCGAAAATGGCCACTTTCCGGGAATAAATCCGAATTTAAAAACGCTACCTTAGTACGGAACTGCCACCGGCAGCCAGTGCCTAGTTAAGACGTTTACCTGTTGACTAGAATGTAGTGACTTATCTTTATTTAGGTGACTACTTAATAATAGTTTGTGTAAACTCGATAGAGGAGCTCCTAAGTACTTCTTATCTTTATATTGCACTTGTGTTCTTTCCCTTTTTGTATATCCAATTGACTAGTTAACTCGACACAGGCTTATGATTTATGAACTAGAGACACGTTAAACTGTTAACGATAATATAAAAATACAGTTATGTGATAAATACTCATTAACGTGATTATATTTGCATAAAACGGCACGCTACCCTCTATATTTGATTGTAATTCAATATTTACTTCCCCCCTTCGACCGGCGAGTTAAGTCGAAAATATATTTTTCCACTTTCTAAACTAAGCTTAGTTTACTTCATAATTGATTATTTGCATTAATGTTTAAGTAATTTGCATATTTAACAAAAGGCTATTAAAGATTTATGACGTAATCAGTAGCACCTTTACCATGGCAGCTGCCGATTGTCATAAATCAGTTTGTTCTGTTTATTAATTATTCTAAAATAGAAAGAAGATAACTGGGGAACAAAGATGACACGCTGTAAGACTGGGAAACAAAGGTAACACTGGAATAAGATTACAACGTCCCCGACTAAGCCTAGAAAAACAACGCAACACTAGGAAACAAAAGATCACACGTGGCTATATTCATCAATATTTAATAATTTGAATATTTAACGGGCGGGTATTAAAGATTTACGGCATAATCGGTAACGCCTGTACGATAGGTGTCGTAAATTATATCGTAAATCTCTACTCTCTGACTATTAATTAACTAAAAACTGGAAGGGGTAACTAAAAACGAAGATCACACTCGACACATTATCCATTTAGAACTAAAATTCGGGATTGAATCATGCCAGTTACTACGTAATAAAAGAGTAACGCAAACGTAACAACTGTTTACACTACTTAATACAGTTTTTTTACGATCTGTTTTCTCAAATTTTATGCCATTTTACTGTTTGAAACACATAAATTTTGTATATTTTTTAAGTGTACATATCTATTTTTATGTGGTTAGTCCCTCTCGTATCGCTTCGTAACACGAGTAGAGCGATAAAAAATTATAATGAATTTTATTGCGTTTCGTCTCCTATCGAATATAAACAACGCATAAAAATAAAACATTTTTAAAAAATACATGCCGCGTAGCCTTTGTTACCATTGGTCAAAAGGCGGGACGGGTTACGCGTAATACCGGTGTAGTCGCGCGGAAAACTACAGACCTACCGGTGGCATTTCTACCACCGTTTAAGGAAATCTACGGTAATCGGTATTACGGTACGTACCGTTTATACCGGCGTAATTAATACTTAAAACAGCCACCCCGTATTTTGAGAAACTAATTACGAAATTGGTCATTTTGTGGTCCCAGGCTATTTTCTGGTACAATGGCCTATCGCGTCGAGGTCTATAGTCTACAAAGCACGCACACGATGCGTAACACGATATCTTTATAGGACCAAACGCTACGGGGGGTGCGTGAGAACTTATTCTATAAGATAAAGCACAGTTATCTTTCCAGCGTAGCCTTCAGGAATATTATTTTTTTATAATACATCCGGACGGTGATTGGTTGGAGCGGAGTGTTGGGGGAGGCTCTAAGTTATATCGGTACGCTAGCCAGTGTACGTACTGTACGGTACGTGCCACTTAATTAAGTATTAATAATCATCGGCGCGTGTAA